AAGCTATTAAGTTAGTTAATTAGTCTTAGCCTACATCAGAAGCTATTAAGTTATGTGGAAATGTGAAAAATATTTTTATTTTTTAGTTTGCAACGCAGGTTTTTACTTTCGGAAGTTTATTTTTACACCACCACCAAGCAATTTTGAAGTCGGCTAAAATATTAATCATTATTATTATATATTTATTTCTCACTACAAACGACATGGAAGATGCATTAATGTTACATCTCTATTTTAACAATGTGATGTCATTCGTAGCAGACTGGTGCCCATGTAGGTTCAAAGGCCCCGTCATACATAATGTCCTCCAGACCGAATTTCGGTCACGGTGGCCAGTCTCAACGGTGACTAGCAATAGATGGTATCACGACTCGACCGCAGACCAGGTGCAGGACCAACGGCTTTACGTGCTTTCATAGGTGCTGATTGAAACACCGACAACTTCGTCATTCCGGGTAGCTCCTATAGGGTGGGGTATATCCTATAAAATAGGGTATAGGGTAGATCCTATAAAAAAAAAAAAGCTATTGAGAATTTCTTGTCCGAAAAATCCAGTAACTGATTTTGGCCTTAACCAGGATTCGAAGCGGGACCTCATAACCAGCAACCGCGTTTACGACCACTACACCAACGTGGCATTCAAAGGGGAGGGGCGGAGACAATACCATTTAATGAAGCTTGTAAAAGTTTCATTGTCAAAATTAATACTAATATTTTGTACAAACGACGTTTATGTTCTAACAAAACATTATATAATCATAACACGTATGTACCTTTGTAAATCTAATTAATATTGTCAAATAACTTCCATGCCTTTAGCGACAAATTTAATTAATTTTCGTTTCTGTTGATGCGTTAATAATAGGCTTAGGTTTTAGTAATTAATTAACAAATATAATAAATAAATAGCTTTTGTTTGATGCTTATTTGACACATATAAACGATTACACATCTATACACGAAATGAAATAAGAGACCATCGTAGAAAATTAAAAAATAATATTATAAATACAATGAAGCCTGGATAGTTGGGATCTTAAGGGACCTGCAAATTTGTCTCACTTAAAGAGGTATTCCACTTACCCAGTGTCTCATATATCCAGGTATAAATAAATATCTGTCTCATTAACCATTAATAGAGGTGAGAATAGAGGTTATTTCAGTAATAGATGTGCCATTATTAAATAAAATAACGTATTTTGTAAACATAATACATAAAAATCCGGACGATAGCAAAACCAAACTAAAACTGGAGGTCACTTTTACACAATTAGCCAAGTGATTTTTTGAATTTTTGGGGAGTTTTTTGTAGCATAGGGAATTTGCGGGTAGAATAAGAATTGGTAAACAAAACGGTACACAAAATATAGTCTCGGCAAAAGAGTTATAGGCATAGTACAATTAACTCGCTGTCTCAATTATAGAGGTAATTATGACGAATAAAATCGAAAGGACTAATCCCAGATATAGAGATTTGTTTTGTCCCGCTAACAGAGGTAATTCAGTGCTAAAGTGTCGGGACCTAAGCATGAGTTCCAGCTATAGAGGTTTCTCACTTATCCAGGTTACACTTAACCAAATTTTACTATACCTAGTCAGGTCATAAGTATTGTCACACAGTAAAAACTTTTCTTTTAGAATGCTAGCCACAAAAAAGTTTATTGAATTCAAATTTCGAATTTTTCATGAAAATAAAACTGTATACTTTTTAGAATTTTACTCATTTTTAAATATGGAGTGGACCCTTAAAGAAGACCGTGTTGCAGTTATTGCGTTGCATCGTTGCGGTTACGCGCCAATTCAAATTTTTGACATACTGAAAAATTTGAATATAACCAAAAGATTCGTTTATCGTACCATCAAACGATACAATGAAGACTCTAGTGTAGATGACAGATCAAGAAGTGGTCGCCCTCGGTCTGTTAGGACTCCAGCAGTGATAAAAGCTGTGAAGGCGCGAATTCAAAGAAATCAGCAGAAACTGTTGGCCCTTCAGATGGGGTTAAGCAGAACCACGGTGAAAAGGGTATTAAATGAAGACTTAAGGCTTCGGGCATATCGAAGAAAAACAGGACATCGTTTGAATGCTCGTCTAATGGACCTGAGACTGAAGAGATGCCGTGCTTTGTTGAAGCGGTACGCGGGGAAAAAATGTCGGGAAATTCTTTTTTCGGATAAAAAAAAATTTTACCGTAGAAGAGAGCTACAACAAACAAAATGATAAGGTGTACGCACACAGTAGTGAAGAAGCGAGCAACCGTATTCCGCGTGTCCAACGAGGTCATTTTCCATCCTCGCTCATGGTATGGTTGGGAGTTTCTTATTGGGGCTTAACAGAGGTACATTTTTGTGAGAAAGGTGTAAAAACTAATGCAATTGTGTATCAAAATACAGTCCTGACGAACCTTGTGGAACCTGTTTCTCATACCATGTTCAATAACAGGCACTGGGTATTCCAAAAAGATTTGGCGCCAGCTCATAGAGCGAAGAGCACACAAGACTGGCTGGCGGCGCGTGAAATCGACTTCATCCGGCACGAAGGCTGGCCCTCCTCCAGTCCAGATTTGAATCCGTTAGATTACAAGATATGGCAACACTTGGAGGAAAAGGCGTGCTCAAAGCCTCATCTCAATTTGGAGTCACTCAAGAAATCCTTGATTAAGGCAGCCGCCGATATTGACATGGACCTCGTTCGTGCTGCGTGTGAATAGTGAATATTCTTACACCGCCACATGGTCTACCATGTGGCGGTGTAAGAATATTCATTACCCCAAATCGTCGCGTGAGTCTCATAAGATGACAGAAGGAAATAAAACAGGAAATGGGCAACAGCGTCTTCCTTCATCTTCCAGCGATTGCCGACCCGTTTGTCTAGCAAGGCAAATAACGGAAAATATTCCACCTAAAAGATAGTCCATGTCCAGGGGTAGATCGGAACATTTTTTTTATAGAATAGGGTGACAAACGAGCACACAGCCCACCTGATGGTAAGTGGTTGCTGTGACCCATAGACATCTATATCTATCCTCAATAAAGAATTAAACTGCAGATGCGTTGACACCCGTGAGGACTAAGATGGAACGCCTCTTTTCCAGTAAAAAGGGTCTCCGGTTCTCTACGCTCACCATACGAAACATAGCAGTGTTAAGCTGCTATTTTACGCTGGTATTCTGTGAGAGCGTGGTCCTTCCCCGGTTCACCCGACCTATTCGTGGTACAACTATACTTCTAATATAGAACATAGGCCCTATTCATCTGTGAGCTTTTGATACTATAATGGTAACGATAAATCACCATTCTTAGTGCACTTATATGCATTACATAGATCACAGATAAGTTGGGATGGCTAAGTGATTTCACATTTGCATTTACATTACAGGTTCATTTGTGACCCCATAATATGTAAGTACTACGCAGTTTGTAACTTCCAGACTTATACGGCTAAGTGATATTCATTCTGTAAACACTAGGAATAGACACTAGCTAGTAATACCAGTTACTCGACTCCACCGCGTCAGTATTTCATTCTATTTACGCTTTTACAATAAAATCCCAGAAAATATACAAACTTTTACCTCTTCAAAGTTCAAAAACTTTATTAAACAAATTTAGATAGATAGATAATAACCCCTGAGAATGACATACCAAACTACCAAGTTATGTCTATTTGTTTTGTGTTGTTAATTGTGTAACATGATTGTAAGCTGTTTTTTTTAAAAAGAAGTCCCGCTGAATTTCTTGCTGGTTCCTCAAAGAACAGAGTTTATTTTCCGAACCAGTTATAAATTAAACAAAAGAGTGACTTTCAATAAGTACTATTTTATAATCTTCTAGCTGTACCCGGCATGTTGCTGCCGCGGAAGAAACAATAGTAGAAATATCGTTTTAAATATGAAAGAGTTGTATTGCTTAATTAAGAATGATAATACATTAATTGAAGTTGAACGATACATAACTTTCAAATAAATTTGCTGTTGCGATACGCGCGCCACCTACTGTAAGTTAATTGTACTGTGCCTATAACCTTCGCGCAAGTGCAAGCAATAAGTTGACAAAGTTTTACCCCAATCTAATAAACGGTATGGCAGCGCATAAAATACGAACAAACAAAAATTTATTTTTATATATTAGATGTAGAATAAAAAGTTTGTTTCTGTTTCCACCAATTTTAAAACATCTGTGACATTACTCCCACTAAAATTTTTATAGAAGAAGGAACAATCGACCTCACGGCTCATGGCTTACCTGATGGTAAATGACAATTTCGTGTATGAACTCCAATAAACCTAGCAAGCTAACAGCATAGCAAAGTGGCGAAGCAATCAGCTTTGTAGCGGTTTCTAACGGTTGCCGTTGAGCAATCAGTTTCAAAATAGGCGGTTCAGATGCCTGGGTGATCAGTAATCGATTGCTGAAAACAGAATTTGAAAATTCAAAACCGTTCTCGAGATAATCGTGGGACAGACGGACAGACGGACCAGACATCGTTAAATCAATAAGTGACTTCGCAAGCTTCGCCACTTAATAATACTAGGAGAAATGTGAGTTGCAAAGTCACTTTTCCCGTTTAACTTTCACCGATAATTACGTTTTAGCTGTTAAAGCGATTTAAACTCAATTTCCAACCGCGAATACTTCATCATAATATGAATATATTAATTTCAATTGAAACTAATTGACTAGATTCGAACGTTAAAGTGATCAAGCGATTAACTGACCATATATGGATTTATTTGATTATAAACAATTAAATCGAATAACTGAATGCAGTTGAACCATTGTAAATATATTCATTAAAATAATTTGTAATAACTGAAATAATAGACTCGTTTACTTACATTTTTCAAAGAAATATATAATAATAATAATACTATAAAACTACTTTTACGGATTCTATTGCGTTTAATTAACTTATTTTTATTAATTCCCGGGGACTGTTCCCCGTGACCGTGGATGCTGTAAAGCACTCGAAATGTTGGTTGGGAATTATTAAAAATAAGTTAATTAAATGCGATAGAATCCGCAAAAGTAGTTTTATTCAATGTGTAGTGTTCGCGTAACTATAAGAAATCATTAAATAATAATACTAATTATAAACACATAAGCAAACTAAATATCTAGATCTGGCTCACGAGGTGACCGACATGTGGGGTGGCCCGCCGACCATAATTTCGGTCGGCGTCCTCTATAATCCGTAACGGACCGCACCGGGCTCAAATGCAGAAGGCGCTGCTCCTCGATACCGCGCGAATCGTCCGCCGGTTTCTAACCCTCGGCCGTTTGGTCTCCCCTGCCGAGGGCTTCCATCTGGTTTTGTTTTTATTTATTTATGTATTTTTTTTATATATTTCACTATATTTAATATGTATTTATCATTTTATTTTATATATTTATGCAGCCCAACCAGATGAGAAAAATACTTGTAAATAATAATAAAATTCTTTTTTTATTTCATCTTCACATTGGTATAAAATTACACTGTAGGGGTGATATGTATCTACCAGGTGTACAAATAAAAGGTAGTCCTGTACTAACACACACTCTATTTAATATACACGAATACAAAGTCACACCGAAATAAATATACAGAAGGAGAATGCAACGTAAGTTCTAAACAAGAAGGAAGAAGTACAGTGGTAAAGAGAAACTCAAAATGTAACAATAAATTAAGAAAGATAGGCACACGTAAACAATTATTAAAACGTCTATGATACAATGAGATGATCTCTCCGCGTCGAAGCCCGTAAGCGACTGGTCGACTGATCATGGGGGCGGTGCTCTCCCACCGCGAGCCCGCAACCTCTGCCTCAGGAAATTACCATATATGGTGTTGTATCGACGATGCCGCACGGGATCGAATCTATGAAACGTCGACCAACGGATAGGACGAGTGTATAGTGTAAATGTGCGTGTGTGTGTGACTGTATGATTGTATGTTTGTGTGAAATGTAGGAGATCCCCTACATCACCCCCCTCCAGAGACCTGGTTAAGGGCAATAAAAATCGGTGAATCTCACTCTACGTCCTGAACGAGTTATATATTCATTCAAATTATAGTTTTGTACATGATCTTGATTTGGGGCTTCACACAATATATAGGCTGGTTTAAGTCGATCAACAGACACTGTGGATGATTTACCATTAATTAATATATTGAAGGTTTTGTCTGACCTAGCCAACACTTTGTGTGGTCCACTATACGCGGGCTGGAGGGATCCACGAGATGCATCCTCCCGTAGGAAGACGTGTTCACTGTTAGCGAGATCTTTAAAAATAAAAACTTTATTACTATTATGGCGAGATGCTGGCACTGGGTGTAATTTTTGTGCGAAACTGCGTAAGCGGGATATGAACTCAGTCATATCCGCTGCGCTGTTGTCTTGAGGCTCAAAGAATTCACCAGGCAGCCTTAATGGTTCGCCATAAAGTAATTCGGCGGAAGACGCCTGTAAGTCTTCCTTAAACGAACTGCGTATGCCCAACAATATCCACGGTAATGACTCGGTCCACTTATCTCGTGCGTGGCACATTATGGACGCCTTCAGTTGCCTATGAAAACGCTCCACTAGACCGTTACATGCGGGGTGGTAAGCAGTTGTTCGTCGGTGTTGAAATCCCGCTATTCTTGCAAGGTGTTGAAATAGCGCAGACTCAAACTGACGTCCGCGATCTGTAACTATTTCTGTTGGGCAACCGAATCGAGATATCCAACAAGACAGCAATGCCTTAGCGACTGTTTCTGCTGTTATGTTGGTAATTGGGACGACTTCGGGCCAACGTGTAAAACGATCGACACACGTTAAACAATAGCGGTAGCCCTCCGATAGTGGTAACGGTCCGACTAAATCTATATGGATCTGTTTAAAACGTGCACGAGGTAGCTTAAATGTGCCAAGTGGGGTTGTAACATGTCGACTTACTTTGGATCGTTGGCATGATAAGCAACTTTTAGCCCATTCACGACAGTTCTTCCTAACGTTCGGCCAAACAAATCTCTCGGATACTAATTTAGCAGTAGCATTTGCGCCTGGGTGACTTAAGGAATGTAAGCTATCAAATACTTGCTTCCGAAAAAACTTTGTCACAAACGGCCTGGAAGTCGGTGTACTGACGTCACAGTATAATGAAATACGGCTTCCAGGTATGGTTAATTTTTCAAGACGCAGTGAAGAGCCTTCTCGGATAAGCTTTTCTAACTCGGGATCAGAAACCTGACTCTTTGCTAAAGCTTCGAGGTCTATCGGAGCTTCCAAAACTTCAACCCGGGACAAAGTGTCGGCAACAACATTGTCCTTGCCAGAAATGTGTCGGATGTCTGTGGTGAATTGAGATATATAATCCAAGTGTCTGTACTGCCTAGGAGAACAGTTTCTTTTTCGTTCGTGAAATGCGAAACTGATCGGCTTATGGTCAGTGTACACTATAAAATTTCTAGCTTCCAGCATGTGGCGAAAGTATTTGATTGCCTCATATATTGCCAGAAGCTCCCTGTCATAAGGTGAATATTTTTTTTGAGACGTGCTAAGTTTGCGTGAGAAAAAAGCTAAGGGCTGCCATTCGTCGTCTTTCAGCTGTTGTAATACAGCTCCTATTGCCTTGTCCGAAGCGTCTGTGACAAGAGCGAGTTTTGCCTGGCAATCGGGATGCGCTAACAATGCAGCGTCAGAAAGACTTTCTTTGCAGGCCTCGAAAGCTTTTAAAGATTCGCCTGATAAAATGATTGGCTGTTTATTTTTCAGTACGCCTTTTAATAAATTGTTAAGTGGCGCTTGCTTTTCTGCCATACGTGGCAAGAAGCGCCTGTAAAAATTGATCATGCCTAAGAAACGTCGTAGCTGACGTACGTCAGTAGGCAATGGAAATTTTTTAATGGCTTCGATTTTCGAGTCAAGTGGTTTGGTGCCTGACGCCGAGATGCTATATCCTAAAAAAGATATTTCTCGGGCACCGAAAACGCACTTAGACGTGTTTATTAACATGCCATATCCCTTAAGTATGCTAAATATTTTACGTAAATGTACTTCATGTTGAGCCTCGTCCTTTGAAAATATTAGAAAATCATCTAAGTAGCAATAACAAAAGTCTAACTCCCGAGTCATTTCGTCTACGAACCTCTGGAACGTTTGGCTCGCGTTTTTCAAACCGTAATTCATGAAAGCAAATTCAAACAGGCCGAAAGGTGTTGTTACTGCGGTTTTTGGAATGTCGTCAGGATGGACCGGTATTTGGTTATAGGCCCTGACAAGGTCAAGTGTACTAAAGATGGTACAGCCTGAAATACTGTGTGCGAAGTCCTGAATATGCCTAATTGGATACCTATCGGGTATAGTACGGGCATTCAACATTCTATAGTCTCCGCAGGGACGCCAGCCATTATCTTTTTTAGGGACTAAATGTAGTGGTGAAGACCACGGGCTTTCCGATGGTCTGACTATTCCGTTATCGAGCATAGATTGAAATTCTTGTCGAGCAATTTTAAGTCTATCTGGAGCGAGGCGACGTGGTGTGCAAGATACTGGTGGACCTGGTGTCGTGCGGATATGGTGTACAGTGTTGTGTGGTGTGGTGCGGTGCATACCTGCTGGTCGAGTGATCTCGGGAAATTCTGCCAATATTTTATGGTATTTTGTCTCCTCAGTTAAGATTTTTATTGATAAAATATTATTAAATTTAACTCGTGAGGCAGTGGCTGTTACACACGTGGTATTATCAACTATACATTTATTTCGACAATCTACAATAATGTTATAGTGATTTAAAAAATCTACACCTATGATAGCCTTAGTTACATCTGCAACTACGAAACGCCACGAAAATATTCGACGTAAACCAAAGTCTAAATTTAAATACACATAACCATAAGTGTTAATACATGAACCATTTGCTGCACTTAGCTGATATGTGGTCCGGGCACGACGATCTCGTAGCAGCGACCGTGGGAAGACGCAGAGGTCGCTTCCAGTGTCGACCAAAAACTGGGTCTTCGAGGCGCGGTCAGTGATGAATAAGCGACCAGTAGACGTGGGGCAATCGTCGGTCGACATTACCGATTGCCCTTGGGGTTTTCCGACTTGAAATCGCATGGTCGGACGCATTTGTCTGCTTTGTTGCCGTACTTGAAGTGATACCAGCAAGTAGGATATTTATTATAGCTGGACTGAGATCTTGACGTAGAACGGTGTTTTCGCACAATACGTCTAGAGCGTGATCGTGATCTGCTGTTCCTTTGGGTAAGTGTAAGCGCTTCGACTTGTTTTCTCAGAGCGATGACTTCTTTGGCAAGATCAATGTCATTCGTTCCACCGAAATGAGCTTGGCTTGTGGACGCTATCTGGGGTGCTGAGGGCACAATGTCATGGATTCTGTCAGCAATGTCGGCTAGATTATCAATCGAAGCAAACGGTTGACCTGCCAGAAAAGTTTGGATACTAATTGAAAATTATTAAATAACACTGCCGCCGCGTAAGGTCACCTTCAAATGTTCTCGCATCTTCGACGTCTTTGTTTTCCACGTTGCTCATTGTGTCCTACGAGGGGTCACCAATGTAGGGGTGATATGTATCTACCAGGTGTACAAATAAAAGGTAGTCCTGTACTAACACACACTCTATTTAATATACACGAATACAAAGTCACACCGAAATAAATATACAGAAGGAGAATGCAACGTAAGTTCTAAACAAGAAGGAAGAAGTACAGTGGTAAAGAGAAACTCAAAATGTAACAATAAATTAAGAAAGATAGGCACACGTAAACAATTATTAAAACGTCTATGATACAATGAGATGATCTCTCCGCGTCGAAGCCCGTAAGCGACTGGTCGACTGATCATGGGGGCGGTGCTCTCCCACCGCGAGCCCGCAACCTCTGCCTCAGGAAATTACCATATATGGTGTTGTATCGACGATGCCGCACGGGATCGAATCTACGAAACGTCGACCAACGGATAGGACGAGTGTATAGTGTAAATGTGCGTGTGTGTGTGACTGTATGATTGTATGTTTGTGTGAAATGTAGGAGATCCCCTACAACACGTTACAATCAATACGGTTGCGGAAAATCTGTGACACAACAGGAGTGTTACTTGTGCGTTGCCTTCTCATAAGGTATAGGAACAGGATTCGTAGGAATGGGAGTAGGAACTTAAAGAAAGGGGAAAGACCACCAGACACTCGTTAGTAAATGCAACATCATAGCTCCTAGAACAATGCAACGTCACATCGGTTTATCTAGCAAACGTCAACATTCGGGTGGCCTTAAGAAAAGAGGAAAAGGAATGGGTATCCGGAACTCTCACTCACCAGACGAAACATGGCAGCCACTAAGAAGCTAACCGCTTCACGCTGATTTTCTGTGAGAGGGTAGTATCGCACCGGTCGACCCTGCTCATTTATGTGTTACAGTGAACTATAGACGTGAATCTACTACCAATTTTTTTTTATTAATGTTTAGATAATATTTTTTTAGAAGTTTTTCTATGTTTTTAGTTGTGGCATTTTTCTAAGATGTTATTAATTAGTTAGCTGTTTAATTTGGAAATATTGAATTTTTTACGTTTTGTGCTACATATTTTGTTGAAGAAAACGGTAAAAGGTACATGTACGTAATTGAGTTTAAAATTATTTTGGCATTAACAATAAAAAAAATTATATGATTGAAATCTTTCATTTTCTGTATAATCTTATCCAAGTAAAGTAAAAAGTTTGAGAGCCTCTAGTTCAATCATTTCCAGGCGGGGCAAGATTGAAATATAAAAAACAAATAAGTTGTGTTATCTGTGTTATTTGAAGGTATTTTGATATTATAGACAGTTCTGAAGTGTTAGGACAATTAAAATTGTAGCCTACTGACCGTCAATATCGTCTAACATTAATTTGAGCGATTTTAGAAACTACTTTGATCTTTCACCACCACCCTTTCATCTTTCCCCCTGTTTTTTTTCTTTCGATAAATACATTGTAATTATTTTTTTTTGCTTTTGAATAAATATAACAGGGATTTATCGATATGACATAAAATATGCTCTTTGTACTTTATTCACTATAGATATAATTTTAGCTTAAGTTAATATGTACTGTTCTACAAGACGTCAAACACAACACTGCTCATCTCATCAAAAAACTGTTCGATCTTCCCCCCACTCACCCTAATAATTTTAAATCCCGATATATCTAAAACTTTGAAACTAGTTCTAGTAATTTTAAGCAATAGCAAACATTTGTTCAAAAGTTGCTAGTAGCATAGTTGTGGAACTGGATAGGTCATTAACCTCTCTCTTAGCTGCTTCGCTTGCAGTTAACTAAAACTCAATTTTCTAGCGAAACAGTCGTGTTATTTGGTTTCTTGTTAACAACAGTCTTCATTTCTAATAACAGCTGGGTAATATTTTAATACAACTCCATTGTTAAGAACTTGTATTATAGAAGTTTGACGGCTCCGTGGCGCAGTGGCTTAGCAATGAGTTGGAGCGCTAAGCGCCGCGGGTTCGAATCCCACACGGAACAAGTATTTGTGTAATATTGCCTACAAATAATTGTTCCAGGTCTGGGTGTCTTCTTTGTGAAATTATGTATGTAAACTGCCTCCACTATACAGGAAAAGATTCTAGTGAGGAGGTAAGGATTTTTTTAATTAAAAAATAAAGAGGTGATCGTCAGGCCACGAATCCGCGCTAGATATTAGACAGTATAAGGGAGTGTTATAAAGTGAGTACGGTGTAAACTCTTTGTAATTAAAAAAAGTAAATACTGGCTGGTAAATCTGTAATATCTGTACTTACCTGAAAAAAATAACTGATTATGTTTTTTTTAAAGAGGTAATTTCGTTGCGGCTATTTGAAATGAAAATTTTTAACGGTTTTCAAATATTTCCCCTACATTGACTGTTAAGTTTGTGAAGAATCTTGCCAAATTTCTTGATTCTAGATCAACGGGAAGTTCACTACATGATTTAATAAGTGAGCTTGCGAGTATCAAAATATGTAACATAAGTGGCCTAAGCTTTTAATTTAGTTGAAACCTCTACCCGTTCCTGAGAAAAAAGGTCTTGTCTTAACAGGACGGACGGAGAAAAAATTTATTCTATAAGGGTTTCGCTTTATCATTTAGAGGTGCGGAACACCAAAAATGTTTTCACTTGAGCTTTTTTTAAATTAAGAAAATACTAGGAATGCTATTTAAATTACTAATACTCCCCTAAACCACTCCTGGTATAATTTACATATGACTAGCTGTGCTCCGCGACTTCGCCCGCATGGAATTTATTACGATTAGATTTTATGTTTTTTCTTTTACGCGGAACCATAATAATTTTTCCAAAATAAAAGTAGCCTAAGTTACTCCTTATAACATTAGCTGTCTGCCAGTGAAAGTCCCGTCAAAATAGGTCCAGTCGTTTCGGAGATTAGCCAAAACACACAGACAGACAGACAGACAGACAAAAATTTTAAAAATTATGTTTTTGTTATATGTACCGTATATACACGGACATGACCTTCAGGTTTGAAGAACACGATCAAGTAGGACCGTATATACTTTCATATGCATTTAGTAAAAAGCTGTTATTTTGAAATTACAAACAGACACTTCAATTTTATTTATTTGTATATAGTAATAGCATGCAAGATTTGTAACTCCACGGTCCGTACCTTACCCATTAAGCTACTGTAGCTTATAGCACGCACCTGTGCAGTTACACACGAATGAATATTTATTATTAACGAATTATTAAAAAATCCTGCTGGTTTGAATAGTTCAGAGAATTTTCCTTATAGTATTACATTTAGTAACTGTAATAAACTTAAGCAGAACTACCCTATGTTTGAGTTTTACTCTCGGGTCTTCTGCAAACAACAAACAAGCTGAGCAATTAGAGACCCAAGATGTCCTCTCGTCTCGGTTTCCGATCTCACTTGTGTGTCACACTGTACCTACTTTGAACGACAGTAGCCTAATAGTGAAGGTTGCGGTTGCAAACTCAGTAAATCGTGGGTTCGAATCCGACATTCGACTACTGTCGTGAACAATTCTTCACTCATAGCACTCTCATTGTTGTCACGCTTGGCAGACGGGTTTTATTGTATTTTTTGAATTTTATAGTTATTATCAGGAAAATGCTGCTGCCCATCTCCAGGTTTGTTTTCCTATGTTGTCTTATTTCGAGGTAATGTAAAGGCCGCCAACACGCACGGGGGAAATGAGAAAAATCTTGTACTAAGCAATATAACATATGTAGAATTAACTTTTTTTATGTAAAAGTTGACAGTGTAATGATGTAATGGGCTTCCATAACCTTTTTTGACTTGTGTGTAATATCCATACAAATAAATAAAATTGAATTCTAATTTGTAATATTAAAATAACAGCTTTTTCCTAAATGCATATGAAATTATATACGATACTTATAACAAAAAAACAATGTTTTTAAATTTTTGTCTGGTTGTTCCGGCTAATCTCCGAAACGGCTGGACCGATTTCTACGGGACATTCACTGGCAGATAGCTGATATTATAAGGAGTAACTTAGGCTACTTATATTTTAAAAAAAGAATTAGGGTTCCGCGCAACATAATTAAAACCCTTAATTACACGCCGGCGAGGTCGCAGGGAACAGCTAGTATTTAATAAGGTTAAATTGTAAGCGTTGGTAGAAAAATATTTTTCTCAATATGTCTAATACTGTCCTTTTTTGACTTTCAGAAAGTGCTTTGTAAATGCTAATTTGAAAAAAAAAACTTAGTTTTTGACAATATGAAACACGATTAATCCTTCAACTTTTTCGAAAATATTATGAATAATCACTATTGGTATCTTTCTTGAAAAGTAAGGAGTTGGGTATGCGTACTACCTGTGCGGCTATAGAATCGGATTGGAAATGAAAAGGCGTCGCCTCTATTCACCTCTCACTCTTTTGGCGCTATCTAAACCCACACCCACCGATAAAGACTGCAAAAAAAGCTACCGTATGTGTGGAAAGGCATCTTTTTGTGACGATCACTTTCTTTCGTCACAAGAAGATTCACATGTAAACATGGGAAAAGGTGATGA